TGTATTCAATGTCAGAAACACGTGACAGGTGTTGTGCCCAGCTCAGAACGATGATAAGGCTGACAGCATGGAGGATTCACCATAGACAGTGGATTTGTCATGGCCTTTGTTACTGCTTTGAGGCTTTATTGGAAACATGCCCAATGACAGGAGATCCTGAGGTTATTCATGACCCACAGCCTCCAAAAGGGATCCTGTCACTGAAACAATAAAGCTAAATAGAGGCAGAAAAGAAATAAATTTTAAAAAGGGAAAAAAATCTATTTTTTTTTACAGAGCTACTTCATTATGCATTGCCCACCAGTCCATCCTCCCTTAACAGCAGTCAGCTCTAAAGACCAAAAAAATAGAACCATGTGACAGATACTGCAATGAACTCAGGTAAACCAGTTTTGTGCCTCTCTGTCTCTTGGAATAGACTTAACACTGAATGATAGGAAACATTCAGGTATGGGTGAAGGGAAAAATAAGAATATTGATGCCTGCAAAAAGAGACTTGGAAGTGGCAGAGACATTATAAACAGGGTTTTAATACGATGTGAATTACAAGCACTTGATACAGAGGGGATGATATATTGATTTTCCTCATTCTGAACTATGCCTGTCACTAAGATCAATGGAAGTCACAAACCTATATCAAGGAAATTATAATATGTGGAATTATTTATAGAATGGCTGCTCCAGGTACACATCAATTGCAGCATCATAATGGCCCGACTTATGACTGAGGACAAAGCCATCTATTACATATTGTAAATGAGAAAGTGTGCATTGCCATCATTGCTTCATTTTCCACATTTTTCATAAGTGAAAGGAAGAACTAATAGAAGCATTCTTGTACAGCCTTTTTTTATAAAGAAGCAACAAACATTGTAGAGTTTATCACTAAACGACAACAATTCCACTTACAAACTAAGTCATTAAAAGAACAGCTACAGGCAGTATTTTCCAAAACAGAGTTATGCAATGTACACCAAGGCAAATACGCTGAAACTTTGGGAATCACTTCTGGATTGCTCAAAATTCTGGGCACCCTGAAGAAGCTGAAAAGCAGCAGCACACAGGAGGGCAGCATCTCCAAGCTGCTGGTGGCAAGGAAGCATGAACCTGTAAACGCATGCTTCCTTTTTCCACTGCAAAAGCTCTGTCACCACTGGCAGACAAAGAAAAAGTCTAATGGCTACACAGGCACCTTTATAATTTTCATATCTCAAAATTATGGCATTTCCAATAAAGTCTGCTTTTGAATCACCATTTACTTCTACAGTTCACTTAGTTTCACAGCAGTCTCTACCTCCCACTGTTAACTCTTAAAAGAAGCCTTTCAAAGGTCAACCCAAACTGTTAGGATTCTAGATGGTAAAACTGAATTTTTCATGTCTACTTGTTCTTCTGAAAGGCATAAAAGCAATTTGTGGCAATCAGCACAAAGGGATTTGATTGACAAACTTTAACAAAGTGATCTAGAGAAGATTCATTGGGAAAAAAACTGCTAAAATTGCAAATTAAATGGCAAATAGTTTTTCTCTGTCTGCCCTTGAAGGAAAATAGGTTCTCTTCTTAGACGTGAAAATTTTGAATTCGGGAGGGAAAAAGAGGAATTTGGCTGGGTTTTTTTTGTATTTTATTTTTAAACCTCTAGTATTGTGTTAGACTGATAGCAACCAGCATAGTTAGAAGATTTATTTCTTTACTATCCTGATGGTGCAAATTATTTTGTATGCTACTGCCACTACTGCAAAGCCTTTGCTTTAGTCCTCAGACAATCCTATTACCCAAGTCAAAGTAACTCATTTTTCACCTACTTTAATTCAGTTCTGAAATTCATATACAGGGCAAGAGCAGGATAAAGCTTTTGTCTGTTTGAAAGTACAGCATAACTGATAGATTTTACATTTTTGTAATGGTGCTTCAACCTCATATACCCATTTGCTTGTTTAATTTTTAAGTATTATTCTGATTTTTTTGCCTTTACAACATTCTTCTGTGACTTCAAATTACTGTTGCCTGCAAATATAACTAATGTGTTAATCTTCTCAACTTTCAAATCACTCACATGACATAAACCCACTCAAAACCATTTATATTTTGATCTACAAAAACCTACTACATTTTTTTACTAACAAGTTCAGGTTTTTTAAAATTATATTTATGTCTGTGAAAATTTTCCAATCTCCTACTCTACTCAAAGCTATTCTAACATTATGGCGATTTTATGTAATTAAATTATTTTCCTGTCTGGTAACTTACTGTAGTTTACATACTTTTGTATTTATTGGAGACATACCAGAAAAAAAAAAAAAAAGCATTTGAAATGCCAAAAAACAAAATTTAACACAGAAAACTCAGAATTCATTAATGATAAAATATGTAGTTATGAAAGACTGCACAAAACTCATTCACTCACTGAATCACTACAGAGACTGAGGGATTTATGCAAGGTGCAATACATCCAAAACAATACAGCTCAGTTCAACACACCACATCTCACTGCATTAGTAGCACTTGTCAACTAAACCTACAGCTAAGCCATCTCAGCTCATTTACTCTTTATAAAATTACCTTTTCTCTTCAGAGCAGCTATCTTTGCCAAAGGACAAAGGGTTTATGTGGGCAAACCTACAGTATTAGTCTACACATTAAGCACCTATTCTGGCAATAATAAATATGAAGGTCCAGAATTACCCATTACAGACCGTAAACATGCTTGTTTACTTATTAGGATCTTTATAAAGCCACCATACAAACAATTTGTGTTTAAGAAAAGTCCAAGATATGATTCAGTTACTTCTTTGCAGGCTGACCAAAATATTTTCTATTAGTTTTGCAGTGACCTTTGTTATATGTTATTCTAGTGTCGGGGATACACATTTTAAAACTCCTCTTGACAATGTGATTAGAACTGTTACTATATGATTAAAACTATATGATTAAGCTCATTAAAACCAATGATGAAAGTTTCTTTAGATAATCTAGCATGTGGATTAATTTTATGATTGACATTTGTTTGCTCAAGAAGGTTTTTTTATTCATCAAAGACTCAGGTAATGAAAAATCTTTACATCTTTTAATTACACATTCCTGATAATATCAGCCTCAATTTCTGCATAGTTGCAATTTAGAATAAAACATGTTTTAATTCACTTCTTCTAAAGCGCAGTAAAGATTTCATCAGGTATTAGTGGCAAACACCACCAGTCCAAACCTACTTGGATGTTTCTTTTCAATAACGTGACTAGTAAGAATTGCCATGCGTAACAAATTTTTCTTTTGCTTTCTCTGTGTTTGTGTAGATGTCGAACAAAAAATTTAATGACTGCGCAAATGGTTTTTAAAATACCCTCAAAATTGAAAGATAACTTTTTTTAAAAGCAACTGCTGCTCAGACTACTGCTCATATTCTACAGTCGGTGAGCTGACCCTTGCAAGATTTCACATATCTGTCTCACAAACTGTTAATGACAGATAAAACACACCGCTGCAAAGAGCCTGCCCTGAGGTGACCCAGCAGCAGTCAGGCTGCTGCTCAGGCAGGCCTGGGCTCTGCTGGGCACTCAGAACCAGCCTCAGACCCTGTGCAGGCAGGCCTGGGCTCTGCTGGGCACTCAGAACCAGCCTCAGACCCTGTGCAGGCAGGCCTGGGCTCTGCTGGGCACTCAGAACCAGCCTCAGACCCTGTGCAGGCAGGCCTGGGCTCTGCTGGGCACTCAGAACCAGCCTGGGCTCTGCTGGGCACTCAGAACCAGCCTCAGACCCTGTGCAGGCAGGCCTGGGCTCTGCTGGGCCCTCAGAACCAGTCTCAGACCCTGTGTGCCCGTGGCCCTGGGCTCTGCTGGGCACTCAGCACCAGTCTGGGCTCTGCTGGGCACTCAGAACCAGCCTCAGACCCTGTGTGCCCGTGGCCCTGGGCACTCAGAAGCAGCCTGGGCTCTGCTGGGCACTCAGCACCAGCCTGGGCTCTGCTGGGCACTCAGAACCAGCCTCAGACCCTGTGTGCCCGTGGCCCTGGGCTCTGCTGGGCACTCAGCACCAGTCTGGGCTCTGCTGGGCACTCAGAACCAGCCTCAGACCCTGTGTGCCCGTGGCCCTGGGCACTCAGAACCAGCCTGGGCTCTGCTGGGCACTCAGCACCAGCCTGGGCTCTGCTGGGCCCTCAGAACCAGCCTCAGACCCTGTGTGCCCGTGGCCCTGGGCTCTGCTGGGCACTCGGCACCAGTCTGGGCTCTGCTGGGCACTCAGAACCAGCCTCAGACCCTGTGTGCCCGTGGCCCTGGGCACTCAGAACCAGCCTGGGCTCTGCTGGGCACTCAGCACCAGCCTGGGCTCTGCTGGGCACTCAGAACCAGCCTCAGACCCTGTGTGCCCGTGGCCCTGGGCTCTGCTGGGCACTCAGCACCAGTCTGGGCTCTGCTGGGCACTCAGAACCAGCCTCAGACCCTGTGTGCCCGTGGCCCTGGGCACTCAGAACCAGCCTGGGCTCTGCTGGGCACTCAGCACCTGCCTGGGCTCTGCTGGGCACTCAGAACCAGCCTCAGACCCTGTGTGCCCGTGGCCCTGGGCTCTGCTGGGCACTCAGCACCAGCCTGGGCTCTGCTAGGCACTCAGAACCAGCCTCAGACCCTGTGCAGGCAGGCCTGGGCTCTACTGGGCCCTCAGAACCAGCCTCAGACCCTGTGTGCCCGTGGCCCTGGGCTCTGCTGGGCACTCAGCACCAGCCTGGGCTCTGCTGGGCACTCAAAACCAGCCTGGGCTCTGCTGGGCACTCAGAACCACCCTCAGACCCTGTGTGCCCGTGGCCCTGGGCTCTGCTGGGCACTCAGAACCAGCCTCAGGCTCTGCTGGGCACTCAGAACCACCCTCAGACCCTGTGTGCCCATGGCCCTGGGCTCTGCTGGGCACTCAGAACCTGCCTCAGGCTCTGCTGGGCCCTCAGAACCAGCCTCAGGCCCTGTTCGCTGGCAGCCCTGGCCTGGCTCAGAGTTCCATGGAGCCCCACGTACCTCCTCATGCAATCCAGCGCCCGGATGAAGAAGTCTTTGTGCAGCTGGTGCTCGTCCCTCAGGATGGAGCACTGCTCCAGCGTCACTGACATGGATGTCCTGTCTTTGGCACTCTTGCAGCAGGTGAAGCGCACTCCGTTCAGCTTGCGGCAAATCTGAAACACGGGCAGGCCCCACAGGTCAGCCCTTCCTTCCTACCAGGCTGCGCAGCCCTACAGCTCTGCAAGCCCAGCGAGGGCTTCCAGACAGCTACAGCACTTCTCAAGAAGAAAACATCTTCTGGAAGTTAGTACCAGTACACTGAATTCCTGAATTTGACATGGGACTTTCATAACTATAAAAGAAACAGTTCCTTCACCGTTTCCTCACTGAATGCAGCAGCTGCCCTGTTCAATGAAAGCTAAATTGTCTGAATATCTGATGAATGAAGATATGGTGAGTCTTAACTCACAAACATGAATGTAGCAGACTAACTTCTTGTGAAGGTATGGAGTCAGACACATCTAACTTACATAGTTTTTATTTTCAACAGGTGAACTGTTCAATGTATGGCTCACAATTAATAAAGTTTAACAAATTGCTGCCATGGATTGTCTACTTTCACTTATACTTTGAAAAAGTTATAACACATAAAGGAAACATGACATTTTGGAGGATGATTCCTCCTCTTAGGAATCAATCTGTGGTTGTATCATTCCATTAGTTTATACTATGGTTTCAAATGATATTTTACTAGAAAAAGAAAAATTGAAGGAGAGCTTCTGTGCCCAAATCTACCATTTCCCAGATATAACCTGTCCTGAGAAAAGGTAATACTTTGCTTACACCTATCCCTGGGGAATCACAGGTGTAATGGTACAAAACCTCAAAATGTTTGTGAGAATGCAGCAAGGCAATAAACTACAGCAGGAATCACAAAAAGAAACTTCCCGCATTGGCTATCATGGGAGAGCTCGCAGGATGAACTGGAACATGAACTGAAACATGACCAGTGTCAGTCCAGCAAATAAGTGTTTCTTCATCTAATGCTAATTGCATTCTTAGAAATTCTATTAAACAATAAATACTATTAAATTCTATAAAAATCAGAAAATACTTAGAGCCTTTAAGTTCTTTGTGATACCATGGTGAGGACAATCTCAAAAGTTTAATTTAGGGAACCAATTAAGGGAATCTTACTTAGAATCCAAAGAGGTACAGGATAGTGAAGGAGAACCTATGAGTGTTTCTTCCATCATATAATTGAAAATTTTAAAAGTTAAATCTGTTTAAAAATTTGAACAGTTGCACTGGGATTTAAAACAAGTACTATATGATAATCTGCTTAAATAATTATGTGAAAGAACTGTTTCATTGAAGAGATTAATTCTCTTTGCACTAGTATCTTTGGAAGCCCCCGATTCATTGGGGCTATTCGATGTGAATGAGTCCTAAAAAAATTTTAAAATATTAAAAAATCATTTATAAAATAAAGTAAAAAAATCCCAGGTAATTATTCTGGATGAGTGATGGGCTCATATGTGGAATCTTGTACTTCCACTGCAATAAAAAAGTGATATTGCACAGCTACTGCACTGACAAAGTTTTCTTCTTACATCTTTTTCAATAAATAAATGGAATATAGAATAACAGTGTGTAGATCACTAGGACCAGAAATACACATTTCAGAAAGTTAAAGTAAGGGAACCAAGCAATCGTGTCCCACATCATACCTCAAGGACACTAAAAAATTATTTTGAGTAATTTTATATTATCAAAGAATGGATATCAAACAAATCACTCAAATTCTAGCAGGTTCTACCAGTTTAAAAAGTGAGAAAAAGAAATTGTCTGCAAAAAACTATTACAGCACATCTGCCTCCTTTAACCAGTGAGTTTTCCAGTCATTTCCTTAAAATCCATTGCAGTTACAAAGTCAGCAAGCTTATGAAAATGAGTTTATGGTTAGTTCATCAATTTCTTTGAAACAAGAGAGCTCACCGTTGCAGCCAGCCACATGATTTCTACATTCTTTCTCTTTTTGGCCTGGATATTTTGATGAAGACTTTCTAGCAATCCCTTTAAATCATTTTGTTCTTGAAAATGTGGTAAACCTGGGAAAAAAGGACGAAAAAAGTTGCTCATTTTGATAAGGTTGGTGATATGATTGTCCCGACTAAAGAATGCTCATGGTAAAGAACAGGTCTATTATTTACAGCCTTGTTTTGGAACACAGGATAGAAATTACCAGCTAAATATTTAAGGAATAAGCAAACCTTATGTCTTTTGAGTATTGCCTTGTCCTCCCTAAGATCTTCACGTGGAAATTTGAAGTATCTTCAACCTTTATCTTATAAATGGATGGTGAAAAACAAAACCAAATCTCTGCTGTAGTTCTGTTCATCAGCTATTACAGACATTCAAAAGAAATCAGAAAAATAAAAAAAAAACTGAGTGTATTACAACCTGCTTTGATGGGATGATTATTTTTTAAAATTAAAGTAAAAAATTAGGGTTTTGTTTTCAAATTGAAACATCTAGTTTTTGTTTTAAAATATGCCTTAGATTTTTCTATAATGTAAGATAAGGGTTAAACAGCACTTAGTATCCCCTCTAAAAAGTAACAAAGTATCTTTCTCCTGAAATTAAGTGGGGCTTTATTTTGAAGTAGAAAATAATTTCAAGTTTGCTTAAAATCCAAAAATTTACCTGCTTGTTCTGGGTATGGAATTTAAGTTGAAGTTTAATTTATCCTACATCTCCAGCAAAAATTCAAGAGTAGGCAATTTAATTTCCCCCTCTGTTTCATATGTATATAGAGGAGGGATTTTTCTAATGTTGCATTTATCCTTGCTAGTTCTGAAAATCAATAAAAACATGCAGAATCTGTTTTTTGAAATTATTTCTTCTCATGGTGGCAAAGTAAAAAGAATTTAAATCATAGTTATCACCAAATAAAGGGGCCAGAATCAAGTGGAACAAAGTGAAACTAAATTGATCAATGGATTTCTTCAAGCAGAGAAAGTAAATTATCCATCCAGTGAGGGGAAAAAACCCCACAACCCAAGCCCCAAACCCAAGCCCAAAAACTTATACTCAATTGGAAGAAAAAAAATGAGGGAAGTATTAATGAAGGTCAATATCCATTCTCCTAACGTGATCCAAGTTGGAATGATCCCTCTCATCAACAGGCTTTTACCTTTTACATCTAATAAATTCTGTAGTTTCCCTTATCCATGATTCATAGGAAGAAGTACTTTAAATCTATTCAAAAAGAACTAAGTTGCTCCAGTCATACTGTGCTGTCTAAAAAAACTCACAAACAAACAAGAAAAAAAGAAAAAGGGAGGAAAACGTACATCCAGAATCTGTTTTGCAATAATTTTAATGTGGATTGTTTTACCTCTGTATCACAAGCTCTGATTGTACATTAGATAATGTAGAGCACATAAAACCACATCACACTCTGCTAGACTATTACACTTATGGGTGCATCTGTTTCTTTAAAACAGAGAGCACAAAATGGCAAAGATGCTTTGAGATGATGCAAATGTATCACTAAACATTCTATTGCTCCCAGTAGCTTTCCTTTGGGTCACAGCAGAAAACGTGACATCTCAGAGGGATGACTTCAGCACAGGTACAGCAAGAGTCTCCTAATTCACAGTACTGCCAAAGGGGTTGCACCTTGACTGGAAATGATCAATGGCCTAAACTCCTTGGGTCCCCCACAGTACCAAACCACCAAATCAGGCTGATAAGGGGGAGAAGCCTGGAAATACCAAACAGCCTTTTTGTTTTCAGGTACTTACGTACTACTAAACAACTATCTTACGTTTTTGGACCCTTACTGTCTTAGTATTTCTATAAAAGCAGTACCATTTTGAGCTATATTTGGTCAGCATTTTTGGTAGGAACCTTGCTGGAAACATGCTCTTATTTTCAGTTTCTGCTAAAAGAATTTAAGAAGTTAACAAATGGGTAAATGACGAAGTGTATGTTCATCCTAAAGACAGAAAGTCAGTGGATGCTTAGTTACAAGCAAGACTATTATTGCCAAGGAGAAATACAGACACAAGAGGAAAACTAACAGCGAAGGTGGCAATACCTTTCAGGGAGTGGGAAATTGAATTCTTTGAAAGGGAATATATGAATGAGGCAGCAGGCCAGGGAGGCTACCAAGGGTGGATCCAACAGCCTGGCAAATAGGGCTGCAAATGCTCAAATTCTGTTGGGCTTTTTGAGCACTGTTTGGAACTGACAGCTTTGGGAACACAGTCCTGCATTGATTTTGTAGCACAGATTTGGCATTATAGGAAATTATCTGGATAGGTGGGACAAAACCATCAAAAAGCCATCAATATTGAATGCCTCTCACGTGGCCCCAGCACCAGGGTTGCTGCCAGCCTTGTATGGAGGTTTGTCTTCCAGACGAGGGGGAACAGGAGTGGGATTAAGTCCTGCCACAAATGAACAAGTTTGAGAGCTTCCCTTTTTTCCCAGGGGGCTGGTTTAAAAGGCACATTTCTCCAAGGCAAAAGACTGACTCTGTATACTGGCAGGGAGCTACTGGGAAGGGCAGTGGAACCAAAAGATGCTTTATGTTCCACAAAAAATTATATAAAGAAGAGACTGAGTTCTTAAAGGTAAAGAAAAAAAGCAAGAAAGTTATAATAACCAGAAAATACACGATGAACTAGACACAATTAGTTCTCAAAAGCCTTCACAGTCTGAAAGAAGTCCAGGAACTGTGTGGCTCACTAATAATCCTTCAGGAAGGCAGTACAAGTTTAAATTGTGTTAATGAAAAGTAGCCAATACTGTCTGCATGCAGTATTTTATAAAATAAAATCCATTTATGAGGTAGCAGATCTACCTTAGTCCTAACCTGCATGAGGTTAGTTTTTCGAGGATGTTTTCTTAGCAACATTCCCCTCAATTAATCACCCAACTTATTGTATGAGTTTCTCTGTAGACATCCTGGAAATAAATACTAGGTCTGTGGGGGGATGGATGGGCATCCTGCCCATCATTTAGGAAGGGCTTTTGTTTCTGTCAAAATGATTAACAAATTAAAATCATCCTGATATAAGAGATAAACATGTATACATACGCATGTGATGTATTAAAGTTTTACATAGCATTTAAACATCAGGCAGTTAAATCTCCCACATTTGGGACTATAGTTTGGGCATTAAAACTAACAGGATTCGATTGATGCAGATGTTTTCTTCAGTCCTTGCTTCTGGCAATCAGAGTAACAGCATAGTAATGCTTATGTTTATAATACAGAAGTTCTACAGAAGTGGAATACAGGGCCTATTCCAATGAAACCTTGTCGTTCATATAATGATGATGTGGCTCATTGCTTGTATTTGATCTGCAGATTTCTCCATGGTTCACCAAACCTCAACATATTTTCAGAATAAGAACAGAGGGTATGACTGAAGCTGATGAAATTGCCCACCAAGTATTTATGTAAAAATACAGTAGGTACAGACTGTCCTCTACATGAAATATTAACAAACTTATTATTTTAATAACTTAAAATAGCTGTTCAGTTCATCATTCCTCTGTTTCATTTTCTCTGTAGTTTCTGCTGTGGCACAAGGCCTGAAATCACTCCTGAGACCAGCAGGGTCATGTACAGGTACAAAATGTTTAAATTTATGGAACAAGTTATGGGATTCTGCTAATATTACTGTCTTATAACCTTCTACCTACTCAAAGCTTTTCAAACCGATTTGGACATTGCATTATTTTGTACTCACAATCAGGAGGCATTTTTTCTGTAAATAACTTGTAATATTCTTTGAGAAGCTCTAAGTTTTCCTGGTTAATGTTTTCCTGCAAAGTGGTATCTCCAAACCTATGAAAATACACAATAAATTATGAAAAAAAACCCAAAACCCACAAACAACAACAAAAGATAAATTATCCTTCATAGTTATTTCTTTGCATAAAGAAATAACTTTGGTGCTAAATGCATTAGATTTTGTCAAACATGCAGTAGTTAAGTTCTTGTATGCTTTGGAATTAATTTTTGGAAACGAGATCATCGCTGATGCATACTTCTTCCAAAAGTTTATTAACAAAGCAATCTATTTACAAACATGCAATAAGGCACTTATTCTTTTCCCCTCACAAATCGTGAATAAATGGAAAGGCACTTTGGGGGAATTCCAATTCCAAAAATTGGGTACCACAGGCAGAGAACACCAACTCTCCATCTCTTAGTGCTGCTACTGCTTAAGCATACCAATTTCTGTAAGAGCTGGATAATATGGAAGTGACACAAGATGGAAGAGAAGCTTATCTACAAAATAACTGTAGCTATAAAAACAAATATCTTTCTCTCTGAGACCAAGATTTCTACAACAGCCACATTTCACATGCCAAGAAACTAAATCTCACGGTACTACAAGAGATATGATTGTAAAGACACGAATGTCCCCATGACAATTAGGGCCAAAGTTTTGAAATTCATCTTCAGAATAGATTTGAAACGGGAATGGAGGAGTACAGGAAGAGAGGCATGGGCAGATAAGTGAGAAACTCAGAGAGAAGGGGACACAGATCAGAAGATACCAAATATGCTGCTAAATTGGGAACAAGGGAAGCAAATATTTCAACAGGCCACAGGGAGAAGATGTAACTACTTCCTTAGTAGCCATTGCTGCACTGTCACATGAGAACATTTCTTTTAAATCGGAAACATTCTCAAGTGTATTCTATCAAAAAACAAATTAAAAGATTTTTTTTCTAATACAGTAACATTTCCTAGAAATTTGCCACGAAAGTGTTTTTATATTCTCAGGTTCTTTATCCCACAAACCCCTCCATGTTTTTAGCCATAAATCGTGTGTGGTGTTTTCAGTCTCAAAAACAAATGTACAACTTTAGGAGTTAAGCAGCATTTTGAATTAAGACAAAAGCAGACTGTAACTGCATGCATTAAAGCTGCTTCTGCATTGAACTTATTTTCTTGGCAGATATTAGTACATATCCATATTTATAAATATGCAGTTATTTTGTTTTCTCCTATGGCTTTCTTTGCACACAATGTAAAATGACCACTGGGAACAACACTTCCTGCCACTTCACTTGCAAGCCAGGCATCTTTTCATACCAACTCCTCTACAAGCCCCCAGGTAATCAGGCTATTTCTAAATGTTGTCAAATTTTTCCTCAGACTATTCATAACTCAGTCCTTCCTGCCTATCTCACTCGTGTAAGCTCCCACCAGCCTGCTTCTTGCTTACCACATCATGTCTTACCTCTTATTTTTTGAGTGTCCCACTCAGAACTGTCATGACTGATTTTGTTGGTTTTGCACATTATGAGTTTGGCCACGTCACTCCTCTCAGCACTTTTCTCTTTATGTCATCAGAATAACCTATTTTCATTTTCAAGAAGTTTCCAAGTTCTCTAACCAGCTATCCAGCTCTTTCACAGTAAAATGCCAGATTTTACTGTCTTTAGATTCAGTCTATGTCTCCCATTTCAACTTTCTGCCTAAATTTTCTCACATACCACCACTCAACTTGGAGAAGTGTCCCATAAACATTCACAAAGCTACCTGATGACATTCTTTAGTAGACTTCTTTAAAAGACTGGGTTTACTTGGCTGTCTACAGTGAACAGGAGATAAAATCCTGTGGTGTTTAACTTCTTGCCTATTACCCAGGTTAAGGATTTTCACTGTCTCCCTCCATTACTCCAGCTACAGCTTTGCTATAAGCTTTTGGCTTAGAGCAAATGCAACCTCAAGATAAGCATTAGGTATTTTGGACGCTCTGTTAATAAAAGCAGCTAAAAGAAAAGAAGTTTTAACAAAGTAGCTGTCTGTATTGACATCTTGACTTCTACTTTGCAGTTTTAGCCCTGCACAAATGTGGTAATTTAACATGACTGACAGATACCCTTCTCTTGGAAGAGAAAATTAATACGTTGGTGAATCCATGACTATTTTTATACTAATTAATTAGTTTCCAGCAATCTGTTGCAGAGGAGTACTAATTTCTCTAGCTTATCACTTGTTTGGTCTCTTCAAACCCATCTTCAAGATGTAAGAATTTTGAATTTTCAAACTTGTGTGAGAATTTCAGAGTACTGCATACAACCAAAATTCTGCATCTGAAATAGAAATCCATTTTGCACCTGTATCCAAGAGAAACATGGCACCAACTCTGTGAAACGGAGCCCTGCTTATGATCTTATCTTCATCTGGACTTTTTCACTGTTCTACATTGCTTCATAGCTTGTGTTTATTTCCTTTAATACCTTTGAAAATACACACTGAGTCAATGTGAGATTGTCTAAGAGCAAATAACAAAGAAGATTTGTTTCTAATCCTGAGAGATAGCCTGTACCAGCATGGAGTACTTGGACAGAAAATGCAACGTGACTTTTCCTTACCTCTCTGCCAGTGTTTGCTGCTCATTGATTCCAACATTAAAGAGCACTGGATACATGCGAAGCAGCTTTCCCTCGTTAATCTCTTGTGGCAGCAGCTCAAACATCTTTGCTGGGAGCTGGACCTCTATAATGTAATGTTCACTAGCAACAATGAAAACAAGAGTGAGGATGGGGTTCTTGAATGTCAGGAAAAGTTTCTTCAGCCAGAGAATGGTTGAGCAGGTTGAACTGGCTCCCCTGGGAAGTGTCACAGCACCAAGCCTCACAGAGTTCAAGAAGCATCTGAACTCTCAGGCACAGGGTGTGATTCTTGGGAAGCCCTGTGCAAGGCCAGGAGTTGCACTTGATGATGCATATGGGTCCCTTCTAACTCAAAATATTCTGTGATTCTGTAAAGAATGTTCCAAAAGCGCCTCTAATAAAAGAATGGCCTCTAATAAAAGCATGTGAGCTCCTGAACAGAATTTCACCTCCCCTGGGTGGCTGGTATCTACCACCCACACCAGATGATCAGTGCACTGCTAGACAGTGCCACACACTTTGGATTGATTTGTTTGTGCACACAGAATGTCAGGTTTAAGCACTTTCCTAGAAAAAACAATTACAAGTAAATATGCTGACTCTTCAAGATAAGAATTTGTAGTTTGATTTTTCTGTCTTGCATTTCTACAGTCTTTCACTCTCATTTATTGAGCCATACCATATAACAACCAAAATAAAAATGGAGGGTTTCTAAAAAAATTATTAGAAAATAACTAGATTTTCACCTTTTCATCTTTTCTTTTTACGGTTCACTTCCAATGCTGTTTGATAGGAGCAGTCTTATCACAGCTCTAAGAGGAATGGCACTCCTCCACATAAACCTTGTAGATTTTATTTTTAAAATTTTTTTAATTTTAATTATTCCCATTGTATTGCCTATCATATTCCAGCCTTCCTGTTATTTATTCAATCCCTTCTCAGAAAGCCCATATGATGAGAGTGAATCATCCAGATTAATTAAGTAAATCAGTGGTGAAAGCCCCCTTCAGAGGAAACATATATTTTCTAAAAGTTCCTGCTTTTAGCTGAATTTAATTTACAGTCATCTTAAGAGCAATGATACTATTAAGGAAGTGATTTTTGCAAAATAAAACTATTTGGAGCTTCAGACTAGAATAATAATAAAGATGAAAAATCCATTCCAATCTTGTTAACCCTCAAATAGCCAAAATAAACGGAGTATTGCAGTATATGTCCTGACATTCAGCAGTACTCACGTGAGATTCATAAAGGATAAGTGATTTTGTGCAAGGATTTCTGAGACTGCCTATGTCCTGTGTGATTTTCAGCAGCTAAAAAAGGCTTCCATTTTTAAAAGTGACTACTAAGTTTTTAATACTAAGTGGCATCGGAGTTTTTTGGTTTCCATCTTAAAAACAATCAAGGCCTAACTCTTGGAACTGCAGTTTCATTTCTCATGCTGAAATACAAATTCAGGACATTCAAAAGCAAAGTTTCTCAGTTAGAGACCACATTTGTAAACAATGGCCTTGTCACTTGTCCAGGGTTCAGTATCCATGTGTGAATAATGCACCAGCAGCTCTGCACAACACAGACGCTGCTCAGATTAATCTGTATTAGTAACTGGAACTTCAGCTTTTTATCAGGAGAGTAACCCAGAGCCTACTGGCTTTTAGAATCCCTACTAACTCACCTTCTAAAAAGTAAAACAATGCACTTTCAATAAAACAGAACTCAGCAACAAGAAAACCATTAGACGGGTTTCATGGGCTACAGATTAAAACTGCAGCTCAGTTTCCTGGGCTCCAAGAAACAAAGTTCTTACCGCCTTCCACTTATAATAGGCAAAAAATCTTCTGACTTGGCTTCAATTACTCTAAACATTACTTTCTGCAAATCTGAAATGCCCACAGCCATGTCTTCGAGCATCCCTGCTTCTTCACCTACATGAAAAGATTAAAGAGACTATTAACAGAGTTGGCAGATCAGTCACTGTATAGGTCAGGGCAAAGCAATATATTTTCCAGTCTGTGCATCTAAAAATCACAGTTCTAAATCCACATTACAGTAACCTACATAAAACCAGACTCATTTCTTGAACTGCTGACAATTCTGTGCCCTAAATGGTAACCATGAGTATTAAGCAATTCTGAAAATCAGCCTGCTCTACATAGACATAAAATAACCTCAGAAAAGCCATTTTTGTCTATTCTGAAAGTTTTCAAAAGGCTTTCCTGCTGATGGAGGACAAAGGTTTTGAGAATAAAAACAAGCATCATGTAAAATGAAGAAGACAGCTATCTCCAAATGAGCAACTGCATAATAAAGCTGCACAAATGCTAAATTCCTCTACTTTAGTCAAAATCTCTGATTCAGGGAATGATTCCAATAGATCTAGTT